AAAGTTGACCTCTTTGTTAATCAGAATTCAGGGTAATTCAGCACTGCCTGAGTACTGCATAAGACTGCAGTTAACGCTGGGGTGGAAGGGGGTGGGGGAAGCAATAAAAAAACTATGCATTCTTCACCCTCATAAAGCACTATCATGCACATTTATCCAGGTCAGTTATGCAATACAACTTGCTGTGTTAAAAAAAAGAAAAGAAAGCATTTCTTCAAGAAGAGATGAGACTGCAAATATTGCCTTATATTATTATGATTACTATACAGCATAAGTGCTGGGGCCCATCAGTTCCTGATTCACAACAGTCTATCCATTTAATCTTCAACAAAAGGCTTGTTCTCGTGTTGCCATTCTCTGGACTAGTACTTGTGGAGGGGGCAATTGAAGAAGGGCCTCAGATGATGATTGCAGGGTCTAGGTTGGCTTACATGGGGAGTGGCTCTCCTTGAGGTGTTGCTGTCCTAAGTCATTGAAGGTTTTATAGGTCAAAGCCAGCACTTTGAATTGGGCCTGGAAACTAATTGACAACCTGTGCAGTGTAATATGCTCAAACCGTCTTGTCCTGATGAGCAACCTGGCTGCCAAATTCTACAACGAACATTCTTCAGAGGCAGCCCTACATATAATGTGTTGCAGTAATCTAACCCAGAGACTACCAGATCATAGATAACAGTACAGTGGTACCTTGGTTCTCAAACTTAATCCGTTCCGGAAGTCTGCTCCAAAACCAAAGCGTTCCAAAACTAAGGCGTGCTTTCCCATAGAAAGTAATGCAGAATGGATGAAACCGATCCAGACTTTTAAAAACAACCCCTAAAACAGCAATTTAACATGAATTTTACAATCTAATGAGACCATTGCTCCATAAAATGAAAGCAATAGACAATGTACTGCAGTCACGCAACAAATCAATCAGTAGATGAACTGGGTTCCACACAGTCTCTCTCTCTCTCTCTCACACACACACACACACAAAGAGCAGCTAAAAGAAAAATGCAAAATAAATAGCAAAAACAGACAGACCTCAGCGTAACACTAAAAATGGAAGTGTGGCACTCAAAACACTCAAATTGGAAGCATAACATTCAAATCAGAAGCATAACACTCAAAACGGAGCACGTTCAGCTTCCAACAAAAGTTTGCAAACTGGAACACTTACTTCTGGGTTTGCAATGTTTGGGTTCCAAGTTGTTTGAGTACCAAGGCATTTGAGAACCAAGGTACCACTGTAGTTAGACTATCCCTGTCCAGCTGAAGCTGATGGAAGGCACTCAAGGCTGCTGAGGCCACCTGAGCTTCAAGCAACATCAAAGGATACAGAAGTACCCCCAAGCTAAGTACCTGCTCCTTCATACGGAGTATAACCCCCTCAAGAGCAGGCAAACTCCCATCCATACAGTCAAGGTACCACCCACCAAGAAACTAATCTTCAGTTTGTTGGTACTCATCAAGTCCACTGCCAATCCAAAGTCAATCCAAAGCATTTCGGAGGGCACTTGATTGGCAAAATCTAGTTTATACTAACCCAAATGAACTATGACTGAAGCAGGAAGTCTCGGAAGAGTTTTAGTCAAGAGGTGGAATTTCCTCTTCACAATCATTGTGACTATGGACTTAGAAATCTTAATTCCTAAGAAATGAGGGCTACAAAAAACACCCTATATATTAAAAATCTTTAGACTTCCTATAGCAGGCATGTCGATCACTATCTACCAGTCGATCGCGGGGCATCTCTGGTCGTTCCTGGTCGATCGCGTGATCCTGATCTATCGCCAAAACAAAACAAAACTCAACAACTTTGCGAAGCTGCCCCAGAAAAAGCTCAACAACTTTGGGTCTTCCTCCCACCCAAAAAAACTTTAGGAGTAGATCACAGTCCCTTGGGAGTTGGACATGCCTGTCATATAGCATTCATTTTGTGTGAATCAAAGCAAAGAGCCAGGCTCGTTAATCTAAATTTGAAAATGAAGACTTTAAAGGTAAGCAATAACAACAACAACAACAACAACAACAACAACAACAACAACAATAATACAGGGGCTGAGGATGGTTAGGCCGGTGTGCACCTTCTGAGGTTGGATTCACTGCTAATATGACATCCCACAGCACGTCTTGCTTCATCGGAGCCAATCCAAACTCGGCATGGAGTAAGGGAGGTAAAGCCCTGACCTGCTTTTCTTCAAACTCCAAAGCCACAGTAAGTTGGAAACTCTCCTCTCACTAACCAGTTGTGCTGTGACTGCAGAGTGCTTCAATAGCTCCCTATAGCTCCTGTAGGCCTATAATTGTCAAGTGACTTATGGTAAATGTTTGAACTCTTCCCTCCTCCCCCTGCTTCTTGCTATCTTCCTGAAGATGCTCATCATAGCTGCAAAAGACAAAAGGCAAATGCCTAGAGTGGCAGGGGATTCATTTCAGCACTGCTCCTTGATGTTGGTTTGCTTTCATTTACTTCTGAGAAACAGTCCCTTTTTTAAAAAAAATAAAAAATTAAATCCTTGCTTTTAATTATTTTTAAGGAGCCATGTTTGGCACATCATGCCTCATTTCAGACCAAGGCCAACTACAGGCACCCGGGAGAAAATAAGATCTCTGATTGCTCCTTTGCTACCCTTTAGTGTCTCCCTTTGATGCAGTAAAGCTATTAACGACTCAGAGCAGCGCATGGGGGAAGCAAGAGGGAGAGAAGGCTTGTTGTAATAGCTCAGTGGAAAATGTACTATGGAATTCCTATAATTTCTCTTCCAAGGGATAGAAATAAATTCTGACTTTCACGCCAAGAGCTGGTAATAATTTAGCTATTATTATTATTATTATTATTATTATTATTATTATTATTATCGTGAAGAAATGGGTTTCCCAAACCCCAAAACTGACTGTGCAGGCAGTTTTTAAATTGCACCAAAATCCCCATGTCTCCTTAGCTAAAATGCATAAACTTTAGCCGTTGAGCAAATGCAAAACAAGAACACAGCTCTCTCCCTTATCAGTTTGACGGCAAGACTGGCCTTGACTTTACCAATAGAACAGACACAGACACATCTTATGTCCTGACCACAAATGACACAGAGACCCAAGTCTGGGACTAATGCCAGAGCATGTTCTCGGAAGTAGTGACCTCTTGTTCCAAGATAGGAACAGGAATATCCTTTTATGGTCAGAAGTACAGGAAGGAAGATCCTTTTATGGTTGAGAGTACCAGAGCAGGAACATATGTGATGTCAACCTGTGTACGTACGTCGACGTGGTTGGGCTCCTAGGGGAGGAGTGAGAGGGTGCCTGGAGGATATATAAACTGCATGAAACCTGTCATTTCTTTGGACTTGCTGTGGACTTGATCACGCAAGTGCCTTCTGCTATCCGGAGAGCAGAATAAACTCTTTCTTTGAATCAACCTCAGGTGTCGTTTGACTTCCTTCCTCCTGTCCCGGAGCAACGCTGACCCAATCGGTGAATTCCAATAAGGCTACAATCGTTGTTGTTGTTGTTTTCATTGTTGCCCTTGTCGAACTCAGTAACAAACATTATTTGTACCTTGCCCACCTGACTGGGTTGCCCCGGCCACTCTGGGATGCTTCCAACAAATATAAAAGCATAATAAAAAAAACAAACATCAAAAGCTTCCCTATACAGGGCTGCCTTCAGATGTCTTCTAAAAATTGTTTGGTTATTTATCTCCTTGACATCTGATGGGAGGGCGTTCCTCAGGGAGGATGCCACTGCCGAGAAGGCCCTCTGCCTGGTTTGCTGTAACTTCACTTCTCACAGTGAGTGAATTGCCAGGAGGTCCTTGGAGCTGAAAGATGGTGGTAGAGACGCTCCTTCAGTTATACAGAGTTCTTAGGACTGATTCGTTTTGAGGATGAGCTATCTGAGATGGACACTGCCAGTGGCTGTAGTGACTTACTTGTGGCATGCAGATACAGAGATGGATGGACTGGAATGTGAGTGTCATGCTGACAGGCAAGGGGGGTGCCATGGGGTGCACCACAGTTGTGCAAAAGCCAAGCAGTGGGCATCACAGTGAAAGGAGTCGTTAGCACAGAGCATATGCTCCAACATATCCTCCAACATATCTCTGTAGCAAACAGGGACATCCTATTCCATCATCATCATCTTTTTATTTATACCCCACCCATCTGGCTGGGTTGCCCCAGCCACTCTGGAAAGCTTCCAACATATATAAAAACATAGTGAAACATCAAACTCACCCCGCCCCCCAAAAAACCATTTCCCTATACAGAGCTGCCTTCAGATGTCTTCTACAAGTTGTACAGTTACTTATCTTCTTGGCTAGGGCATTGCATAGCTCCATACCGTCCAACACTTATCCAATGAAAATAGGGACGTACGTACTAAGGGAAAGCAGGACATTCAGGGATCAAATCAGAAAGCAGGATGGCTTCTGTAAATCTGGGAGTGTCCTTGGAAAACAGGGACACTTGGAGGGTCTGCTGTAACTGTTAACTGTGATAGAAACAGAGCAAACAAAAGCAAGGAGAAGAGAAGGGGTGCTGTGATGAGATATGATAAATTTGTAGTGAGCAGTCTCAAAGAAGGGTGAAAAAGAGATTGGAGCATCATGGGAGACGAGAGTGGCTACAGGACTGCGGGCAGAAGGAAGTTTGTTTGCCTAACAGATCACCTGAGCAGAAAGCTTGGTGGCCAGCCAGGATGTGTTTAAATCAAAGCTAACCCAAGAAGTTCAACGATGAAAGGGACTCAAATGTCCTTGGAGTGTCTGGGATCCAGTAGATGAACCCTGAAGTAATGGTACATTCTGTGGCTCTGAGACCTTCACCTTGCAAAGTGGTAAACAGTCCCCTTTCAAGGCCATGCCCTTGTAAGCTGCTGCACATGATATTGAAGAGACATTGCTAAAAAAAAGAAAAGGAAAAAGGCAGACACATTTTCCATGGTTTTGTAGTAACTGATTTTTACAAAAAGAGACAGATCTTGCCTCCAAAAACTTTTTTTTTACATTAATAATAAGTTTGGCCCATTTTAATCTCATATATATCAGAGTAACAAGAGGAATGGAACTACATTATTGTTGCTTCAGATTTTTTTTGGATTATATTAATTTAGAAAATGGAAATATTATTGTTAGTGTCTCTTTCCTTTTCCTTCATTATTTTCACACTGTGCTTGCTGACAGAAGTTCTTTTATTCATTTCTCTCTTCTTTTCTTGCCACAAATTCTCCCTGCTTGTTTAACTTTGAATTCTTAGTCATTCTCCATAGAGGAAACCTGTATAGATCTTTATAAAATGTATCCATTCTTTCCCATTCATTTGCTTCTTGAGAGTTTCAACAGTCTAGAAAAAATAATAACCACTTGTATCAAATAGATGAGTGAGCATGCCACGACACACCCAGTTGTATGAAATACATCCTTACTTCCAGCAGGCTATAATAACAAAATTGTGTGTGTGTGTGTGTGTCCGTGTCCCTGTGTGTATCTACCAACATCTTATTTGATAGCATCTCATTGTGCACAATATAATGAAATCTAAATTTATTGAGCTTTCAAAATGAATAATGGTGCTATTATGCACAAAAAGCCCTCCTCAATTTTGTTAAGTATTACCGAACAGTCCATCTATTATGCAGAGAAACAAATAAATTTCATGAGTCCATTTTCATACTGAAAGAAAATTAGTACTAGTTTTGACAAAACCCCACAACAATTGGATTGTGTGGTACCTTTATCGTAGGGTGTTGTCATTGCATTTTAGGGTTAGGGGTGGTCAATTGCTTATTGGGGTATACAAACACTTGTTGGGGTATACAAGCAAGGTTGGAAGGATGCAAGCTCATCCAGTGGCCTGAATCACTGTTGCAAGAGTGCTCTCCCCATCATGCTAGACCCTTCACATATTGGTTGGTGTGATCACAATGGACCTCAGCCTGAAATCAGGTTCATGGCAGAATGGTGTTGGGTAGGAGGCTGCAATCTGAAACTCATTTTCCTGAGGTTAAGACTCATGGGATTCGATAGGACTGCTGAGTCCATTGTTAGGATTGTGCTGTATGAGTTCTAAGCCAAGAAGGTCAGTAGAGCATGAGACTCTTGATCTCGGGGCCGTGGGTTCGAGCCCAGCTTTGGGCAAAAAGATTCCTGCATTGCAGGGAGTGCTTCCTTCTAACGCTTCAGTTCTATGATTTTATAATCCCTTGTTGTAATAGTCACAAACTCAGTAGATGTCCTTAAACAAGCCATTATTTTATGACCATTTTTGAAACCCTTATTCAAGCATTTATCTGCCCAGACATGGAAAGTGATATGCAAATCCCATCCCCAGTGTACCCAGATACATGGGCTCCTCTCAAGCATTTTTCAAGTTGAGCATAATTGTCTGGAGGGGCTTCTGAAGACTTTCAACTGGTCATGCTTAGAAGACCCTGTGCACTCAGGAATCCTGATAGGCAGGGTTCCTAGATTGCTAAATAGTCATTCCTGTGCTGGATAACATCTTTTCCACTTGAGTAAGGATGGGCAAATCAATTTAGGTTTCTCATTTTTCCAATCTTAAATTGAGCTCAACACATTCCCACAATTTTTAGACTTTTTCCTCCGAAAAAGGTCTCGTGAAAATTTGTCAACATTTTAGTGTGCATTTTAAATACTGTGGCACATTTTTGCAAGCAATTTCACTTCATATAATGCATCTTTTATGTTACTACACAGCTGTATTTATTTTTATGCATACTTCTGCCTAATATATTCATTTCTGGATTGTTGTTGTTGCTTTAATTGGAGAACTGCATCACAAAATTGGGAGAAGGGCAGATTTTGAAGGATGGCTGCATCTATATAGCTTTGGGAAGTGTAAATGGATTGAATTTATCCACCATGTCTACACGTGAGCATTTCAAAATTCAGTAACATTACAGGTCAACTCAGAAGTAAGTCCCACTGAGTTCAATGGGACTTATTTCCAGGTAAGTGTGTACAGGATTGCAGTCTAAAAGTACTGACTAGATTGCTGAAATGTGTGGAGACAAGTAGACATGAATCAACAAAGCTAGACCAGTTTCAAATTTCTTGCCAATAGCACCGAAGTTGTAGGTGATCAGAAGACCAGACACTCAGGAGATCTAATATTTCTTCCATCCCTCTGAGTCAATCACACGATGTTGTACAAATAAGAAATGGGGGAGACTCATATCTGCCTCACCAAATGAAATTGTGCCATTTAATTTGGCAGTTGCTGGGCCTCAGGTGGTGAAATTGCACCTGCATTTTCAGTTCCTTGTGCCCAGTAATGCTAGAGAGGATTCACAGACTAAAAAAGGATTTGGGCATCAACAGGATATTGTGTAAGGAAATGGTTAAACTTCAAAGAGAGCAGGCTAAAGTGAGATACCATTACAACTATGTAAAATGTTGTTGGAGGCAATGGGGAACAGTTCCCAGTTATGGCCACAGAGAGTGAAGGGGAGTGGGGGAGTCAATGGTCTTTAATTAAGAAGTGAGGAAAATGCAGATCGAATATCAGGAAGGCTTTAATAACCATAAAAATAGTCAGGTAATGGAAGAGATTACCAAGGGAGGTTTTATGAAAGTACTAAAATAGGTTATGAAGGCTGCAATCTACAGGCCACTTACTTGCAGTTAAACCACCTGAGCCAATTAGGCAAAAGCAGGCTTGCTTAAGTGGTTTGTAGAAAGGAACTATAAACATCTGTCAGAAGTGAATTATGAATAATTGGTCCTGCTTATATGATGGAGGGTAGCCTTTAAAGGATTACTTTCTAAAAGTGTCTCCTTTTTCCTAAGGTTGTAAGGAAACTGGGGTTGACTTTTACAACCCAACTCCCCATCAAGCAATTTGGAATCCCTTGAGGTCCACTTTTGTTCAGAAATACAAATGGAGGCTACAACCAGGAAGGAGGAAGTAAGGCAGTTTTATTGGAACAGTTGCAACAGAGTCTCTAACTCGCCCCTTGTAAGGAGGTGAGGAAGAGCCCAGAACAAAAGCATGTTACAGTTTTTAAGCCCTCAGGGTGTGACCGCCCCATCACAGAAAGCCCACCCCACAAATACCACAGATACATCACAAAATGGGTTGTACCTGTAAATCAGATCATGCTCAGTGTTCATGTTTCTCCAACATTTTCACAAGTCTGTCAATCAAGATGCCTGACAATACCTTGACTCCAGAATCCATTGTCCCCATTCATACACAGAAGGTACCCTTTTGGTAGGTCTGCTTGGCAGATACCTGTCTAACCAGTTTGTGGAGGGGCTGCCTATCAGGAATTTCTGCTATGTGACCTGAGAGGGTCTCTGAGGTTGACTAGGGGCCAAATGGCCTTAGTATTGCTGTCTCTATTATTTTGGCCCAAGTTTAATTGTGTAAACTGATATTTCATTGAACAATTTGTGTCTTTCATTGGTAAAAATAAAAAAGAGGATGATAGAAAGTATCAATAAGCAATAGACTGCAGTGACTGACATATAAAAAGTTACAGTGTATTCCTTCAGGTTGTTTTTTTTTTTTTGCAAAAGGGATCCTGCAGTACCTAATGGTTCAGAAAAGATCAGAAAAGAGAAAGTCTTCTTTGTGTTGATGAGGAGATGATAGTTTAACTCAAATTAGATCTAAAATAAACTAGTTCATGCATCAAAAACAAGCTCACACTTTTCATAGAGTTTGTAAACATACTTAAGGTAGGTGTATAAGAGGCTTGTTTATACGGTTGTACCTTGGATCCTGAACGCTTTGCGACTCTAATGTTTTGGCTCCTGAACGCTGCAAACCCAGAAGTGAGTGTTCTGGTTTGTGAATGTTTTTTGGAAACCAGACAACACAGCTTCCACAGTTTCCGATTGCGTATAGGAAGCTCCTGCAGCCAATCGGAAGCCACACCTTGGTTGTCAAATGTTTTTGGAAGTCAAACAGACTTTCGGAATGGATTCTGTTCAACAACCAAGGTACGACTGTAATTATATTTTGGGAATGATTCATGTAGCTGCATTATTTTATACTTTGTGGATGTCCCATGATCATATCATAAAGTAGTTGCATTCTGCATCACAAATCAAGCACAGCTAGGAGTTGTTTCTTTTTGTTTTTTCCAAAGTATTTCTTATCAATAAAAAAATTGGTGTGATGCAATACGCCCTAGTGTGTGTTTTATATAAATACATACATTTGTTGTTTAGTCATTTAGTCGTGTCCGACTCTTCGTGACCCCATGGACCAGAGCACACCAGGCACTCCTGTCTTCCACTGCCTCCCGCAGTTTGGTCAGACTCATGTTGGTAGTTTCAAGAACGCTGTCCAACCATCTCATCCTCTGTCGTCCCCTTCTTCTTGTGCCCTCAATCTTTCCCAACATCAGGGTCTTTTCCATGGAGTCTTCTCTTCTCATGAGGTGGCCAAAGTATTAGAGCCTCAGCTTCACGATCTGTCCTTCCAGTGAGCACTCAGGGCTGATTTCCTTAAGAATGGATATGTTTGATCTTCTTGCAGTCCATGGGACTCTCAAGAGTCTCCTCCAGCACCATACATACATACATACATACATACATACACATACCTTTATATACACAAATGGTCACTCAGGTTCAGGAAGATTTTGGATGACTGAAGAAGGACATTTCTTCCATTTTCTTGTAATATGTGGCTTTGGTTTGCATTTTTACTGCATTGTTTTTTATTTATTGTTAGCTGCTTCTAGAGACCATTTGAACAGCAGGCAAAATATGGCAAAAAACCCAAATAATTTGATTTGTAGAGTTGTAACTTGCTTTGATGGACATTCAGTTGCTTCTGAAGACACTTGTCTGCTACAACCACTAAGTGCTGAGGAGAATTTTAACAGCTTTCTTGCTTACCAGATTTCTGATTGGCTCCCTATCTAGAGCAGGAAGTTACCGGTACATTTCTAATGGCTATTGATCCACAGTGAAATATAGGTAATCCCTGAACTCTTTAGAGGAGCTAAGTGATTTATAAATTAATATTCAGATCAATGAATTGCCCTTCCCAAGGCAAACTCATAGATATCATGGGGGCAAATGTATGCTCAGAAGTGCTCTCTTGAAAGGTTTCATTCATGTAAATTCAATGCTGTTAGCTAAACAGTCTCTCTCTCTCTAAAGAGTGTGCCATTTCATCTAAAAGGGATAAAGTTCATTCTCTCTCTGGCTTGAATTCTGCTATGCCACTGAGTTATATCTTATCTCCTATCTCCATCTGATCTTAGTTCAGCTTTAATGAAAAAATAATAATCAAACACTTTAAAAAGTTGCTGAGCATGTACAAAGAGGTTCTCCGGAGAATTGCCAATGTATCTACTTCTTAGACATCATATCTTAGACATTGTGAACACTGAACTGCCGTCCTGGGACAACAGAGAAACTTTTAAAACAAACAAATCTTCCTTTTCCTCAATCTGCCAGCAGCTGTGGAAAAGCCCTCCATGGATTATCGGTCTGTCCCATTAAATATACACGATGATTCTTTGAACGAGTACCAAGCCAAGCCTAGAATTAAAATGCTCAACCTGCTCTGAAGTGTATATTTTTTATTTCTTATGAGTGCTTTTCTCCTTACGTAATTAAATCTGTGAATGCTAGCTAGGTCAGAGGCTTCTAAGTAAAGCAGCTTTCCAGTGAAGATCTAGAATTCTCCTCTGAAATATATATGAGAATGTTAACCAATTATTCTTCCTGTCTCTGTCTGTTCTTCTTTTCCTTTCCTTGTTAAAAATAAGTATATTGAGGCCATATTGGCAATGACACCAGTTCTGATTAATTAAGGTGGTGAAAGGAGGAATTCAGTTGGGGAGGGGTATTATTAACTAATTAATTGATTAATTAAAATTGTATACCACCCTTCATCCACAGCTCTCAGGGCGTTTCACAACATAAAAATACAATATAAAAACACAAAGTACATGATAAAAACCAGGAAAAAACCAATAACCCCCACCCCATGCCACAAACACATTTAAAAGGGGTATAAAAGGGGGTACGCAGGGGTACGCATACCCCTAAACATTTTGTGAGTCTTTGTCCATTTACTGTATTTATTTTTCCTGATTTGAACTATAAAATGGTGATTTTCTTGAGTCAAAATGAGAGTACCCCTAAACATTTTATATATATATATAGAAAAATATCACTGGGCATAAACATGTGAATCAGTCAAAGCCCTGGTTGAAGAGGAACATTTTTGCCTAAAGGTATTCAGTGAAGGTGCCTGTAGAATCTCCCTGGGGAGAGCATTCCATAGAAGGGAGCCACTGATTTGGCATTCTTGTACATAACAAACCAAAGTTTGTTTCTGTTTCTGTGCAAAGGAAGCAAATCATGTATAAATTTTCTCCTCCAACCAACACATCTACAGTGTGTGTGTTGCTTTGCTATTCCTAAAGATTAGGAAGCAAAACCTCTGAAACTCAAAATCTCTGAAACTCAACATTAGCCAGTTTATAGGTCCAATCTGCTATAATTGTGATTATCAAATGAATCACGAAACCAAGTTTCAATCGAATGAAGTTTTACTCTCAGAGCAGCCGGTTTCAGAAGTCCCGGGGAAGGTTTATTGACTGTTTGACCACTCTGGGAATTGTAGTGCTGAGCCACTGAAAAACTCTGAGTAGGGTCAGGCAGCTCACCCATGAGGTTACGTGAGACTACTGCCTCAGACAGCAAGACCCCAGGGGCAGAAAATCCTGGTGTTAATCCTTTCCTGCCTTGTTCCTGGTGTAGATCCTCACTCACCCCTTCTTCCTTGGTAGCAAGGGAGACATCATTTGCGGGGTTTGCCACAGGTGCTGAAATGCCTTGGGCCGGCCCTGACTCTGGGCACCCTTAACAAGCTACCATTCCCAGGATTAGTTACTGGGAAGCCATGACTGTTTAAAGTGACATGATACTACTTTAAATGTTATAGTACAGAGATGGCCTTCATTCCCTGATGGCCAGTGTTCACTGTATGAAATAGCCTGCAGAGGATGCAATCCTCTTCACGGTCTCCGATCCAAAGTCAAAGCAGCAAGAAAAAAACAAGGTAAGAAAACAGCAGCCAGTCTGAACTGGCAGCATGTCCTGAGGCCAGATCTGAAGGGCAACAGTTATTGAGTCATAAAATTAATTAACTGAACTATGTGGGAAATAAACAGAGCAAGCAGAGAATCCAGGAACCTCAGCAGGTGATCAACGTCTCTCAGGCATTAAAAGCATATCCTGGACAAAGGACCAGGAAATGCACTGGGGACAGTGCTAATTGATGTCACCTGCCATGCATTTTTTATTACAGCATCTAATACACACACACACACACACAGAGAGAGAGAGAGAGAGAGAGAGTGGTACCTCGTGTTACAGATGCTTTGGGTTACAAATTCTGCTAACCATGAAGTGGTTGCTCCCGGTTAAGAACTTTGACCCAGGATAAGAATGGAAATTGCATGCCCGTGGCACCAAATGCCCCATTAACGAAAGCACGCTTCAGGTTAAGAACCGTTTCAGGTTAAGCACAGACCTCTGGAACGAATTAAGTTTTTAACCCGAGGTACCACTGTATATGAGGGATGTGGGTGGCGCTGTGGGTAAAACCTCAGCGCCTAGGACTTGCCGATCGTATGGTCGGCCGTTCGAATCCCCGCAGTGGGGTGAGCTCCCATCTTTCGGTCCCAGCTCCTGCCCACCTAGCAGTTCGAAACCACCCCTAAGTGCAAGTAGATAAATAGGTACCGCTTTATAGCGGGAAGGTAAACGGCGTTTCCGTGTGCTGCGCTGGTGCTGGCTCGCCAGAGCAGCTTCGTCACGCTGGCCACGTGACCCAGAAGTGTCTCCGGACAGTGCTGGCCCCCGGCCTCTTAAGTGAGATGGGCACACAACCCTAGAGTCGGACACGACTGGCCCATACGGGCAGGGGTACCTTTACCTTTACCTTACCACTGTATATGGGAAATGCTGTTTAGTAAAAGGGTGACAGTGTTTTGCTTTGCATAAGTATACACCCACTTTTTGAAATTAACTTGAATTTTTCTGCTGTTCTTCTCCATTGTAGAATTCACATATGGGGCACAGGTTAAGTGACAAAGTGTGCCTAGCCGAACTATGTGTGATGTCGCTGACATGTGTAGCATGTAGCTACAGGTTACAGAGCTATGAATGTACATAGCATGCAGCTGCAATTTCCAAATTGTAGGGATGGGGGTGATCCTTATGTGGAAAGCAGTGCCTGGGGAGGGAAGGCTTCTATCTGTCGGTGCATTCAGAACAATCCCCCCTCCTGGAACACACATGTAACATGGAGCCTATGGGGAGTGTCCCCACTGGGAGTGGGGGAGATGCAAGACTCCCCTTCGCTGCACCCTGCCTTCCCAACAGCATCACTTATCCCTTATTCCTGTAATGAAGTGGCGGGTGAGGGAGGAGAGAAGCGAGATACATAGCTTCATGCAATGTATCTAGAGAACACCTTGTTTGCCCCCGAGGGCTTATTCTGACATTGTCTGCGAGGCATGTGAGTAACAGCAGTAACTCATAAATAGGTGAGTCGAAATGAAGAGCAGGAGTGAAGGACATTTTTCAAGGGAAGCACCACATTCCCTTCTGGGCGGCGTTCTGAGAGTCACAGGCCAGCAGAGGGCAGAACAGGAGGACAAGCTTGGTGGAGCAGTTAATGTAAATGTTTCGTTTTGTGGTTTGTTTGTTTTTCATGCATAATATTTCTATATGCCACTTTTCACTCACAAGCGTAGCAAAGCGGCTTACAAACAATAAATGAACACCACAGATGCAACACAAATGGGGTACAATAATGAACAAATCATCAGTAAAACAATTACAAGTCACCAACGAAACAACCACCTTCTATAAAAGACTATTAACAAAGCAACTAGAAAAAAAAGCTAAACAGCACAACCCAAGCAAACATCATATTATAAGATTCACAAAGCATTACAGCTCTCATGCTCCACAAAACAATATTAGCAACATTAGCTGGATCTACACTGACTTTTTAAACGTTGTTAGAACAATATTAGATATATCATTCTAAAACATCGTAGGGCATACTGGTAACATGAAAATGTTCCTTACCTGTTTCTTCTGTTGTTGTTGTTTTCGTTTAGTCATTTAGTCGTGTCCGACTCCTCGTGACCCCATGGACCAGAACACACCAGCACTCCTGTCTTCCACTGCCTCCCACAGCTTGGTCAAACTCATGTTGGTAGCTTCGAGAACACTGTCCAGCCATCTCATCCTCTGTCGTCCCCTTCTCCTTGTGCCCTCAATCTTTCCCAACATCAGGGTCTTTTCCAGGGAGTCTTCTCTTTTCATGAGGTGGCCAAAGTATTGGAGCCTAAGCTTCAGGATCTGTCCTTCCAGTGAATATTCAGGGCTGATTTCCTTCAGAATGAATAGGTTTGATCTTCTTGCAGTCCATGTCTCCTCCAGCACCATAATTCAAAAGCATCAATTCTTCGGCAATCAGCCTTCTTTATGGTCCAGCTCTCACTTCCATACATCACTACTGGGAAAACCATAGCTTTAACTATACGAACCTTTGTTGGCAAGGTGATGTCTCTGCTTTTTAAGGTGCTGTCTAGGTTTGTCATCACTTTTCTCCCAAGAAGCTGAGGTCTTTTAATTTCATTACTGCTGTCACCATCTGCAGTGATCATGGAGCCCAAGAAAGTGAAAGCTCTCACTGCCTCCATTTCTTCCCCTTCTATTTGCCAGGAGGTGATGGGACCAATGGCCATGATCTTAGTTTGTAGGTCTTGTAAAAAAGCAGTTTCCATATTGCCTGGTTCCTCATTGCTCTGTAGCACCCTCTGGTGTCACACTTTAACAATGCATTGTTAATTAATGCTACAAGCAAAACGTTATGTGTCCAAATACATTACGATAACCATTCCTTAACTCTTCCTTAACATTAGAAACCATGAGTGTAGATCTTCCTGTTAACAATGTAACTATGCACTGTTGAAATTTACACACACTCTCTTCCCATCCTAATAACTCATAGTTTCCCCCTCAGTTCATCAAAAGACACATACACAATAATGGCCATGGCAGCAACTCTGTTCTGAAGGCCCTTAGGACTCCTAGGTCTGGAGGGTGGGGCAAGGCAGGTAGAAAAGGCCATGGCCTGGTGGTCAGCATAAAGTCTCATTCCCCTTGCCGTTCTTCCCCTGGAAACAGCTCCCTTATGAAGCTTAAAAGGACTGTCCACTAGCTGCTGCAGACGCTCTCATGGGCCCTTCCCTATCCTCTATCTAATGCAAGGGACATTGTCAGAGAAAAGAAGGTTGTGGAGAAAGGTAAATGAGGGGCCTGTGGAAATTGGAAGGGGGAGCAGCTCCTGTGCAACTCTCACTTCTGATACTGAGTCCCACCTCTGAGAAATGTCTCCTCGCCCTGGAATATGTTGGTGAAATAGGCCCCACCCCGATTTGTTGGTTGTCAGCAAATAGGAAGGAGGATTTTGAGAGGCCATTTGCACACAGCTGTAGACTGTTTCTCCCATATTGCTTCACTACACTTCGTAGGGACCACAGAATATTATCATATGGACTCCAGGACTTGAAGGAGACAAACCAGACTTAAGGACAATGGGTAATGTATATACTGAATGGCAAAAGATAACTGTGCAGGTTATGTGTGTTGTCCGATGGATTGTTACAAGGGACGTAGGGGCAGGTGTCATAGAGTGGCATGGACAAAACACCATGGTGACCTTGCCCACCTACTGCTATGTGCCTGCTGGGTGTTCAACTATTCAGCTGTGATAAGGGGCCCTACACATGTACCAACTTATGTATGTATAGCTCCTTCTCACAAAGGGACTATTTTAACACATTTGTTTGTTTGCACTCGTTTTCAGACAAGGTTATGGCCAGCAACTCCATTTCATAGAATCACAGAGTTGTAGAGTTGGAAAGGACTATGAGGGTCATCCAACCTTCTGCAATGCAAAATCTTTTGCCCAGTGTGGGTCTCAAACCCACAACCCTGAGATTAAGAGTCTCATGCTCTACCAAACTGAGCCACCCCCCATATCATATTGGGTGTTTGTTTTGAAAATGAGCATCATGAAAAGCTTAACTTTGTAGATAAATAGCCACTGTGAGCATGAGAACAGTAGCCAAGAAGCTATTTCTGGTGTTTAATTCAGACCTAAATCTCCCTTTCCGGGGCTGAGTTCTAAATAGTGGCTACAGGAAGTGGCTGTGGATTGTCCAGAGGCTGACATGATCCTTCATACTCCCCAGGCTCTATCTACGGCACATTCAGTTGAAACAAGATTTGCCCCCATACCATCACTGTGTCATTATATTTGCATTTTTATTTGCTTGTATGTCGGCCTGCAATGGAAATTTCACAGCTAAGCATGCACTGTGGGGTGAAGAACTCATTGCGATTTAATATTATGTCTATCTTCACTTTTCAAGACTGTCTGGATCTTACCTTCTAAAAAAAAGGCTTTGAAATATGAATCTCTTTTTCTCTTGGCAGCAGGTGTCATAAATACAACAGTGTGGAGCCCCTAAGAGTGGCAAACTGCCCCACAGTGGGAGCCCATCAATATCTATTACACGACCAGCATGCGAGTCTGATATGGATGGCACACCCTGATTCATATCCTATTTCCTCTGTCGCCTTCTCTCCAGGACCGATGTCAGTTTGGCTCAGTGAGAGAAAAGAATAGACTCATTCTGACTTGAATCTTTTTCAACAAGGCCGTGGAGAATATTCTCTGAATTACGAGTAGGCAGCCAGTTATTAATTCAACAAGGACTGTGTTGTTGCAAGAGGACAATGAACAATGCTTCTATGCTTTTGACATGCTGGAAAATGAAGTGCGGTGGTCAAGGTGTCATTAGGGCTGGAATAGGCTTCTGAATTACTCAAATAGTGGGCTTTCCTTTATGGAATGCACCATGCAACCTAATCTGTTATGCTGCCTAATCACACCTAGGAAAAGAAAGCTGATATATATTGCATTATAATTGGCACACCCCAAACACTATCAACAGTCCAAAGTAGTACAGTCTATTCTACTATGTCTGGGCTTTACCACTTCACTTGGCTGCATATGTAGAGCCAAATTACTCCTATCTTTGTGAGATACAGATAGTGAGAGATGTTTTGGAAGTCTTCACAAAGTTATTCTCCGGCTTGTAGACTAGGGGCCCATTTCTCCCGTCTTGGGTGGGGTGAAGACATCAGGTACGCCTTGGGTACTTGTACAGCTACTGGGGAGGGTCTTCCTCAGCAGTGTTTCTGTCCTAAAGGAAGCCTCTCACACCCAAGGTGCCAACTCCTGAGGGCCAAGCCATTCCCTCCCCCAATATTTTTGGGAGGGGGCCAACCCCCCAATGCATGAAAATATCAGGGGGTGGAGTAGGCCAAGCATAGATCCAAGCACATTGGGGTTTCAATGGCCTGGCCTGCTCTTTCTCCTCCTCCTGTTGACTCTGCCCCTGGTTTCTCCCAATGCCCTGACATGACGCCAACCTCCCACCAACTTCCCTCACAAGTTGGCAACTCTGCCTCACATAATATAGCACTTTTGGTCAGCCAACCAATCCTAGGAGCTGAACAGGAATTTTCAGAATGGCTCCCACAATTGGCCATGGGGAAATGCCTATTTTTCACTGATTCCACACTCCTGGGGATTCAGATAAGAAGAAGAAGAGTTTGGATTTGATATCTCACTTTATCACTACCCGAAGGAGTCTCAAAGTGGCTAACATTCTCCTTTCCCTTCCTCCCCCACAACAAACACTCTGTGAGGTGAGTGAGGCTGAGAGATTTCAAAGAAGTGTGACTAGCCCAAGGTCACCCAGCAGCTACATGTGGAGGAGCGGGGAAGCGAACCCAGTTCACCAGATTACGAGTCCTCCGCTCTTAACCACTACACCACACTGGCTCTCATTTTACAGCTGGCCTACCCAGCTTTTGTACATGCTGATCACAGCAAGAAGCTTCAGAGCTTTTTGGATCAGGGAGTTTAAAATGTGGCCTTCTGGATATTGCTTGACTCCAACTCCCATCACTCTTAAGCAGCATGTCCAAGGGTCAGAGGTGATGGGGATTGGTTCCATCAACATCTGGAGGGCAGGGGTAACCCCACTCCTGCTTTAGATTGCTCCTTATTTAATAGCATGAACATAATACAGCATACATACAATAGCCATTTTGGGATGCTGGCATCCAGCTCCAACTCCCCTAAACTCCCAAGAAAGGAAAAACATGCTCAGAAGTGTGGAGAGGATGCTTCTTCCTAGCCCCCTTCTGCTTTCCTCACATGGTGCATCAGACTGTAGTGTCCTATAATGTCTCTGAGCCAGTGGGCTATCTATGGCTTTTATGCCTACTCTGCTGTCAGGGACTGGGCAGAGGAGGAATTGTGGAGACCAGCTCCTCATACTGAGCCTTCCAGGGAGGAGGAAGAGGAGGACAATATGGATTTACAACAGGGGTTTGCAGGAAGTCACAACACAAAGGCAGATGAGGGGGGAAGTTGGGAAATAATGGGAGAGCCAGAGCAACAGGTGGGAAAAACAGATCTGTGGCTCTGTTAAGAGATAAGAGGGGAGTTATTCCTATAGCAAGTGAAAGAAGAAAATAGAATACTGTCACAGAAAACACAGAGAGTGGAACCTCGAGTTGCGGACGTAATCCGTCCCGGAGACACATCCGCAATTTGAAGCATTCACATCCAGAAGCACTGTGTCTGCGCATGTGTGCGGTGCGATTTAGCACTTCTGCGCATGTGTGAAGCATGATTTAGCGCTTCTACCCATGCGCGAGTGGCAAAACCCAGAAGTAAACATTCTGGTACTACCGGGTTGCTGTGGGACGCAACTTGAAAAGATGTAACCTGAAGCGGACACAACATGAGGTATGACTGTAGTGACTTACTACATCTTGTTCAACAGGATCATATGTCCTTATCCTGTCCTTCATTTGAATAGGTATTCCATCCATAGAAGGGGAGTCTCCCAATAGATTCTAGTAACTTTTTCCAGATACCTTCTACCACTACTCCCAGGCAACAGGCTCACCCCCTGCATTACTGTTTATTTGTTTTTAGAAGGCCTTGCAGAATATGTTTAAGCCACAACAGGAAGAGGGGCTTTAGGATCTTATACTGCTGAATTTATTAACTTTGTCATACACAGTTTGGAAATTAAATTGCTCTTTGGAAGTTAAAGCTAATGTACTCTTAATATGTAAGCTACCTCAGATGAATTTTTATTTGGAAAACCAGTACACCCACATACAAACTAATAATAATAATAATAATAATAATAATAATAATAATAATATGAGCAGAATTGTGCATTGGATGTTATTCCAGAGTAGGCTTCTTCTTTGTGGAATAGGAATTCAATATGTAATATGAAGCACCCATCATTCCTATGCTGGACCACAAAGCAATCTTCCTAGCCCCCTCACTTGTCAAGCTTAGATCTTCACCATACTCATCCAGATCTTATTCCTGGTTCCTTATCTTCTCCTTCTTGGTTATCTTTCCAAATACAGAGAAAAAGCTGCTATAGAGTTGAGAAAGGAAATGTGGTTATATGAATCAGTCCCAAAGTCACACATAAAGTTGATTATTTGATGGGTAAAGGGTTGTGAATATATATCTATTGGCCTCAACATAATGGGTTACAAACTGGCAAACCAATCTAAAACTTTCCCCCAATAGTAAAAGTTAATATATCCCCCAAATAAAACTATTCATCACCTGCTTTGGAGATCCATCTTGATAGAGCTGAGATGCAGTCTGACTGTTAACTGTTTATGGCTTTACCAAGACTTCAAGCATATCCTCTTTGTGACATCACACATGACATCAGAATGGCATATTTGCATTCAACCTAGACTATCTCCATGCCAACAGCAATGGCCAGTAAACTTCTGCAACCAAGTAACCGTCAGCCTGACTACCCAGTTGTTTCTATCTAGACTACTGGATGTTTATTTTTTGCTCTCATAATCAAAGCCTGAAACAGAGCTGTGTATAATCTGAAAACCTGCTTCCACTGTTAAAGAAAACTAATTGTCAGAGACTGGGCAGAGGAGGAACATTGGAGACCGTCTCCCCATCCTGACCCTTCCAAGGAGGAGGAAGAGGAAGGCAGTCTAGATTTACAACAGGGGCTTGAGGAAGGTCACAGCCCAGAGGCAGATGAGAGGAAAAGTTGGGAAATAATGGGAGAGCCAGAGCAACACCTGGCTTACACGTCATTAGATAGCATCCCCGACCCACCATCTCCCTGAACCTGGCAGGACTTAAAAGTAGGAAAGCAAAGAGCTCGAAGACAGAGCAGCACCTGTAGAGGAGATGATGATGATGACGAATGAGGAAGAGGGAGAGAAGGGGGCGTGGAGATTCACTCGGGACAACACCATTATCCAAAAGGCTGGCTTCTATGGCCTCTCTCTGTAAAGACTGAAATTAAAAAGGACGGTAAGAAACTTTTCCTTTTCTTTATACTTTCCTGGGCAACCAGCTGGGAGCTGCTGACAGCATCCTGACACCTGGTCTCTCTGCTGAATCTGCTAGGAGTTCTGGTTGGGCTTTACTGCCCCTTCCATGCCATGCCCATTCTTTTATAGTTCTGTGCCACCCTACCCAACCTTGGCCAAGCCTTTCTTCATCATGTCCCATATGCTGCTTGTTAGCTCCCTATCCTCTGCTTGTCATACCCCATTCAAGGCAGTGTGTATGTTTTTATGTCTGGTTCAGGTTCCCTTAACGGAACTCCTTCCAGGCTTGATGCAGAAAGGATCCAAAACCATTGCTTCTAACTCCCTTTTGCAATGCAGTTGGAAATTACTTTCCTTCTTTATCTGGGAACAGTGCAGAAATGGGTACTCATAGTTTATTCCCCACTATGGTGGCAGTGTGAACTTTACAGCTGAAATTAGTGTGGGAGCAATCAATCTTTGTTTGAACAGATAGTTCCAGAGTTCATTGGTAGAAAACATGTTTCACATACAAACGGTCACATGATCAATCACTGGCTTCTCTGTGTAGGGTTGCGTGAGATTCCAGTTTGAAATAATCGGTGCAGAAGAACGAACGAATGTTCTTTCATATGTGGTGGAGCTTTAAAAGGGTAAAAGAGTATTGGGAAATAATTTATAATGAACTGATTTTTTTTTAAAGCACTTTCCCCAAAAACCCATAATCCTTTCTGTTGGGGATAATTCAGATGGAAATTCCCAGGTGTCAAAAAAGGTTATTTAGGTATGCCACTACTGCGACCCATGTTTTGTTAGTCCAAAAATGGAAAACGAGCGCGGTCCCAGCCAAAGAAGAATGGCAACTTAAACTGATGGAATATGCAGTTTGCGGACCTAACTTATAGAATAAGAGAACAATAAGAACATACATTTAAAGAAGATTGGAAAACGTTTATTGAATATATGGGGGGAAGTGTGTACATTTGAAAACGTTGGCAGCATTAAGATAAATTCAACAGTGTAAATAAGTTTTGATGGATGTAATAATGGAATACTGAATGGTTTAGTTTGTATAAAATATGCAGGGATTTATGTTATGCAAAATGAATCATGCAAAGAGAAGAAGGGAAGCCATTGATATTTTAAGATTATTTAAATGAATATTTTAAATTGCAAAACAGAAAATTTAATAAAAAATATGCATATAAAAAATGAAATCATTGGGCAGTATCCAGCTAACACGTCCCATTAGTGCAAGTATTTACACTTGCACAACAGACCTTGCTCACTTCCTTCCACTCATGTGTAACCCACACCATCTCCAAATCTGCTCCAGGGGTTTGGAACAACTCCTAGAACAGATTCCACAGATGGGACAAGTTAGCAGGATACTGCCCACTAGAGGGGCACTGCCAGTATTGACAATACTGAGCTAGCTGGGCCAATTGTCTAAAGCATCATCCTATGGCCTAATGAAACTTGCAAAGAGGCCCTTATATGAACACACCAGAATTGAGTTCAGCTCCTATCTCAGGATCACAATTCCGGTTGAAAGGTTCCTAATCTCCTACTTCATATATTACTAGATCACTAAACTAACAAAGTCGGAGATAATTGACTGGTATCTAATCTAAAAACCCAAAAGGTCAGGTCAGAAAAGCTTTTATCCCTGTTGTCCTGATGCACTCAATTAGTCATGTGACAGTGGGCTTGCAACTTGAACAGGAATGGGGGGGGGGGGCTTGACAGCATTCCATTCATTAGTAATTATTGCATTCCCATGTCTGAAAAGCAATGTGCATTTGACCCCCCCACACACACCTCACCTCAGAGAAAGAAAAGGGGAAAGGCTGAAAACATTTCTAGCATCGTGGATTCGAATTTCTTCATTGCCACATTACATTCTGACAGCATCTTCTTCATAGAAACCTTTGGCCCTTTGAGATCAAAAACTTTTATCTCTTTAAAACGATTCTCACTTGCTCATTTGGTCAAGGTTACAATCAAGCTTGGCATAAATGGGGACAAAATGAGGAAAGAAATCAGGAAAGTGTTGCACTTCTTCACAGCATCTTTGAAGGAGGATGCAGCGGGAGAGATAATTTTGCTTTAAGTGGGCTTAATCATAGTTAAATAATGCTGGACCACCCAAATATTTGTTAAATTGAACAGAGACATAAGATGTAACAGAGGTAATTTGTCAGGCTAAGGAAATTCAGATGTGATTTAATTTTCCTCACACACAAATTCCACCCTCCTGCTTCCTTAGAAGAATGCTAAGCACATTATTTATCCTCCTGGCATCCCTATTAGCTGTATTTCCATGAGAGCAAAGTCAATAATATGTCAATAATATGCAATAGTTTCTCATTGCTTTGCACAGACGTGCAAGCACTATGGTTCCTAGGCCCAAATCAGACACTTACTGGAGCTGAGAATTCTCTTCTGGTTGTGGATGAGAGGGTGGATATACCAGCAATGTAGTTAAATACTTAAGAGGTAGTCTAAGTGGGGAGAAATTCAATCCAGGTAAGTGAGGGGTAGCAGAAGAAGGATGGGCCACTCTATCTTTTCTTTATTCCCACTGTAATGGAAGTGGGGCAAGTAATATTTTTACTCCCTCTCTTCCATGACCAGGTGGGTCAGTCATGTCAAACTCTAGGTAGGCCCCAACCATACTCCTCTTAAGATCCCAATAGCCCTGGATGAGAGTGCTTTCAGGCATGTTCTTGTAGCTTGCTTTTTCCCATCAAACCTCACTCATATACACTGTAAAAGTAAAGGTAAAGGACCCCTGACAGTTAAGTCCAGTCATGAATGACTCTGGGGTTGCGGCGCTCATCTCGCTTTACTGTCTGAGGGAGCTGGCGTACATGTGGCCAGCATGATTAAGCCGCTTCTGGTGAACCAGAGCAGCGCATGGAAACGCCATTTACCTTCCTGCCGGAGCAGTACCTATTTATCTACCTGCACTTTGATGTGCTTTCTAACTGCTAGGTTGGCAGGAGCTGGAACCGAGCAATGGGAGCTCACCCTGTCATGGGGATTCGAATCGCCAACCTTCCGATCGGCAAGCCCTAGGCTCAGTGGTTTAGACCACAGCACCACCTGTTGCCCACATACACACTGTAGCATTAACCAAATGACTGGGCACATGAGGGGTTGGAATAAGCCTCAGTGTTTTGGCACCAGTGCACCCTAGTCTCCAACAACCAATTTTTGTGACATTTATTAAGAATTTAATTACCCAAACTATGTAGAATTTTATTCATGTATGCAACTACAGCAGCAAGAATGTTACTTGCCCAAAAATGAAAATAAGTCTCAGCGAAAGAAGAATGGATACAAAAAAATGGAATATGCAGAAATCGTGGCACTTACCAGATAAAGAAGAAATCAAGATAACGAGCTTTTATAAAAGAATGGAAATGGTTTATTGAATATTTACAAATAAACTGTAAACAGATAAGAACATTGGCAGGATTATTGTAATAACCTGCAGGGTTTGGGGTTTTTTTATAAGAGTATATATTTAAAGTAGATGAATAAATGAGTAAATTAAGTTAATTTGGAATATGCAGAAAATATTAAAAATAAATTTAAGGCATCACAGAAGGAGGGAGGAGGAAGTCGAGTTTTGAAATGTTAAAATGATTGTAAAATTACTGAAATGCATAAAACTGAAAATCATAAACAAAATAATAGTAATATTAATAAATTAACAAAGAAGAGGACAAAGTAAAGAAGCAGACTATTGCTTCAAGGGAAAAAAATAGAAGGAACCTTTTAGTCTATCTATGCTGTTATAGCTGTTTAAAAGCAGGCTTTTCCTCACATGCAAAGTGGCAACGTTCGCAGTCAGATGAGAGCAGGAATTGAGAAGGATGAAATGGCAAGCATCCACTTTTAAGAGTTTAGATCCTGATGGGTCTTGATTGACAGCTGACTGTGTCTTGCCAATCACAAGTCAGTCATGTCTGTCGGGAAGCGCTTTGACACCATTTGGAATTTGGAGGAGATGGCTATCGCAGTGTTCATTGCCAGCAGATTTCTCCATCCTTCTGCCAGACCTCACCTAAAGGGTACTTGGTGTATTAAAGGCGAGAGATGTCTTCTCTGCTAAGGCTGAAGGGAAAGCAAGAAATTAGGGCCCTTCTCTACACCCAGCACAGAAACCAAGCAGGTCCCCATGGTAAGGATTTACCTTCTTGTATGTCTGGCATGAAAATTAAGCTGGCTGCAGAAGGGGGGGCCATAGCTCTAAATCTTTCTGCAGATAGCCCTCTCCCAGCTTTTATTATTACTGTTGTTGCTGCTGCTGCTACTTCTGCTATTGGTATTATTACAAGATAGCCTGGCTATTATTACAAGATATCTTGGCTTATTTACATGTCTGGAATATACTCCTTTACCACAGTCATAAAGTGCTGTGCACATATATACATACACACAGGACCGAATTGGTTCCCCCCACTCCAGATTCTAAAAGTTTTATTCAGGCAGAGGGTCTTCTCGGCAGTGGCGCCTACCCTGTGGAATGCCCCTCCCTCCACCCCCATCAGATGTCAAGGAAATAAACAACTATCTGCAGTGCTCCCCCCCCCTTAAAAATGTTATGGGGCACTCATTTTGACTCACGAAAATCACCATTTTATAGTTCAAATCAGGAAAAATAAATACAGCAAACGGACAAAAGTACAAAGATTCACAAAATGTTTAGGGGTATGTGTACCCCTGCATACCCAAGGGGGAAAAAGCACTGACTATCTGACTTTTAGAAGACATCTGAAGGCAACCCTGTATTAAGAAATGTTTAATGTTTTTAAAAAAAATTTATGTGCTGTAGGCTGCCCAGAGTGACTGGGGAAATACAGCCAGATGGGCGGGTTATAAATATTCCTATTCTTATTCTTATTATTCTGTGCTTCGGTACTGACTGTGTGTCTACTCAGAGGTAAGTCCCATTGATTTCCATAGAACTTAGTCCCACGTAAGTGGGATTACATTCGTACCTGCTTAGCTTCTCTATATATATCATACAAAGAAAGGAGGGGAGATAATAGCTAGAAAAGGCAAACGTGAGCCACGCTTGCACACATGACTCACAACTACATATTTTGTGTTGCATTTTAATGGAACATGCAATCAAGTTTGTACGATATTTGAATACTTTTATACAGTGGCGGAGCAAGCCGATTGCGCGCCTGGGGTGGTGTGCATGCGCTGTGCCTAGGGGCGGAGCCAGCCACCCACAGGGCAGGGCGAGCTGGGGCAGGACGCTCCGCGTGGCCTCTGAGGAGTCTGCCTGCCTCCTCCCACTCAGCCACCCTACAACTGAGGAGGAGGCGGTGGGCAGACCGTTTGGGGCAGTGTGGAGCCTGCGAGCGCCCAAGCCACCACGTCATTCCCAGGAGACACATGTGGCTCAGGCACACTGCAGGCCCTGCAGCGAGTGCCACCTGGCATTTTGTCATCCCCCTCAGTGATGACACCCGAGGCAGCCTGCCCCCACCGCACCCCACCTTCCTCCGCCCCTGCTTTTATATCAGGCATAGGCAAACTCCAGCCCTCTAGATGTTTTGAGACTACAATTCGCATCATCCCTGACCACTGGTCCCGTTAGCTAAGGATGATTGAAATTGTAGTTCCAAAACATCTGGAGGGCCGGAGATTGCCTATGCCTGTTTGATATAATGCTGGAGTTTGAAATACACTTTGGATGCCTCTGTGTGTAAACACTTACATGCCTGTTGAATTCATGTAGACATCTATAGCTTTTGTCTGCTTCTACTGATTTCTCTTTTGTGGTCACCGTGACTTTTGTTCTGCAAGGCAACAAACTGACTTTGAACTTCTTTTGAAAGCCTGCAGCATTCTGCATCCAACCACCCTCCTTTGTAACGTTTGTTCATTTTCCTTAAAAGCTTACAAATGTGTTCGGCTTCACATTGTTGAGAATGCCTGCCCCCCATGTACTACAACGGTGACATGCTTTTTCAGCTGTTGTTTCCTTTGTCTATTTAATATGAAACGTGTAAGAGGGAAAATCTGAGCACAACAATTGGATGGGGTTTTACTCCTTCATAGTAGTTTATTAGAATTTTGCCACTTAAAGAGGTACGGAAAATGGAATGATTAGATTTTAGCTCAAGAGTTCTCGTGAGTAAGATGTACTCACTTAAAAAAAAAATGGAGACATGGACAATGTTTGCTTATTCTCTCTCTCTCTCTCTCCCCCCCCCCCCACATCTCCCCTGGAAATCTGTTGTGGAGGGAAGCATTGTGGGAAGTGGGGTGGGGTCTGCAGGGGAAAGAGAAAATGGTGGAGAAATACCCCCCTTCCTCCACTGGATTTTCTTTAAATGTTTACAAATAAAGAAAATCCAGTGAAGGAAGGGGGGGGGGGATGCTGGCAAATATCCCAAATAAATTACAAAATATATTATAAAATAAAAATATAATATACAATAGAATGCTAATAAAGATCTGAATATAAGAAATACATTATAAGAAGCCCATCATTTAAAGTAGCAAGACAACAAGAGGGACTATCTATTTTGGGAAGTAGTTTGTCCAACCAAGATAAATTGGGAGGTGGGGGTTATTGTTTTTATTGTTTTGCTAGTTACATTACATATTTTTGTATATTTGTATTGTAAACCAACCTGTGATCCTCAGTTGAAGGGCAGTATGCAAATTTAATTAATAGTATAATACTAATACTAATACTACTAATCCTATAATAATATCTCCAGTATCCAGATCTGTCTGGATAAGCAGCTGAGATTTTAGGAGATGTTTCAACCGTCCAACGGATGGAGCTTTCCAAATTCCTTTTGGGAGGGTTTTCCAGAGGGCTTGTGCTACAACTGAAAAGGCACATTCTAGAAAAGGAGTAGTCAATATGGTGCCTTCCAGATGGACTACAACTCCCATCAGGCTCGCCCAGCACAGTGATAATGTAGCAGGGTCTCAGTCAAGAATGACAGACACGGGTTCTTTCCAAGGAAGGTTGCTTTATTCAAGCTGCACAGCTGACTCCAGTGAGATATAATCTCAAGACTGGGACCTGTTTTCTAGCTGGGGTTGTTATTTATAATGAGCAGGAAACAGCTTCTTACAGGAATACTCAAGCAAAAGGGGGAACTATACTTGTGATGTACTGAAGTTCTCACTCTGGGCCAGCAGGGGGATATTGTAGATAGTATTCACTCAGGTCCACATATGCAAATAAGGGATTGAAAGTGATGTTCAGTGATTGGATATTTACAGAAATTGGTTACTGTTGTGTTCTAGTGCAGCTCTATATCAGCAGGCTGGCTGAACCATTCAGTTCAGTTCTGTTCTGGCCTGTGAATAAACAAGAGCTGTTTGAAGAATCGCTGTGTCGTCTGATATGTTCACCCACAATTTAACAATACTGGAACACGAAAGCAGGATCTGGCTGGAACATGGAAGCAGAACTTGACTGGAAATGTTGCAGATTCTTCCCTTCCCACCGCATGTCTTGGCTGCCCCAAATTGTGAGCATGTGCAGATTTCTTGCCCAAACTGCAAATGTGTGAGTCTAAAAACAGACACTAGTTAGATCATCCCTTGTGGCAGACACGTGTCAGACTTTCTGCTAATCTCCAGGGTGGGGGCTGTTGAAGATAGATAGATTCCATTCGGAACCTGCCTCAATAACAGGAGCCATAGTCTACAACAGCTGGGGGGGCACATTGTCTATCAGAGCTTTGCAAACCAAACCAGTGTTTTCTGTTATGTGACAAAAAAACAGGAAAATGTTACTACTTCATTATCCCTGCTGGAGACCCATCCCTTTCGATCAGCTACAAGCACATTTGCATTCTCTCTCTCCAGTTCAATTTTGTTTTATTTTGCTGGCTTTCACTTCCCACTACTAGGGCCCTGAGCAAAAGGGAAAAAGGTGTTTATTATTATTAGCCCACGCAAATGCATGGACTTGCATTGCATAATGTTATACATTTCATTAGGAATCGGAGCCTTTCGTCCCACCGTTTCTAATTTTATTCATGCTGTGAGTCTGAATGGTGCTGATTGCACAGGCGTACTGTAATTTAGCCTCTAAAAGTGTCACAGCAAGCAAAAAAAATTTGTGATGTCAGCATGCATATATATATATATATAAACCACCTCAGCCAACCTTTGTAAAATATTGAGTATTTATCTCACAATCTCATTCAGGTAGATTTAGTTCCAAAATCAAAATGGGGATTTCATAAGATGTGAAATTAACAATTCAATATTTGTGTGAGCGCTTTCTTTCTATCAGTCCAGCACAGATGAAACTACACAATCTCATCATGGTCATGTTATGCTTGAAACCCGACTGCCCTGACCTCAGAAGTGCCAGGCAACTTTCAAGCAGCGGTAGGGTGACGCCACCCCCCTCTATATTTTATTGGGTCTTGAAAGACCTACAATGGCTCCCAGTACGTTTCAGAGCACAATTCAAAGTGTTGGTGCCGACCTTTAAAGCCCTAAATGGCCTCAGCCCAGTATACCTGAAGGAGCGTCTCCACCCACATCGTTCAGCCTGGATACTGAGGTCTAGCTCTGAGGGCCTTCTGGCGGTTCCCTCCCTGAGAGAACTGAGGTTACAGGGAACCAGACAGAGGGCCTTCCCAGTAGTGGTACCCGCCCTGTGAATCGCCCTCCCATCAGATATCAAGGAAATAAACAACTATCTGACTTTTAGAAGACATCTGAAGGCATTCCTGTTTAGGGAAGTTTTTAATGTGTAATGTTTTATTATATTTTTATATTATGTTGGAAGCTGCCCAAAGTGGCTGGGGTAACCCAGTAAGGTGGGTGGGGTACAAATATTTTTTAATTTATATTTATATTTAATTTCAAGTTGGCACCAGTGCCCTTTGGACTGACAGAGGAAAAGATAGGGAGATCGACAACGGATAGAGTTAGGGCCAATGACAGACAGAGCCAACTAATTCTACTTTTATCACCATCCTCCTCTTTGCTGAGCTCTACAAGGGCAACACTGAAACTAAAGAGGAGGAATCCGAAAGGAAGTGTTATCCCCCTGAATGATTGTCAGTAAGGAGGGAAGGTAACTGAGGGCTGACTAAGGTTGGCGGAGCAGTGCCCCATTTGCCACAATGGACCAGCCTCCACTGCTCAACACGCCTTGAACTTTGTGGGGATCTCCTTCTGAAACATATACTGACCTTGTTTCAGCCAGCTTCAGTTCAGTTGGCTGAGCCCCAGCTGAGCTGGGATGAACAAGTTACGCTGGCGTATCACCTGAGGTGGCGTTGGGGTCTTAACTCTGGCTGAGCCAGGAATCAGATGACTAAGCTGGAGATCTGCTGCATCCCAAACTGCTCGTCCTGGAAGATCTTGCCATAGGGTTACCCTCAACAGCTCCAGTCTGGTATAGGTAATAGGTCCAATCTTAGGGCCTCTCAGAGGGGCTTGGGATCTAGCAGTTCCTAGACTTCTCTACCCCCAGAAGAACAGTGACTACCACTGTTGGATACAGAGGTAACAGAAGATCTATATTTGTGGCCACAGCAAGGATCTTTACAATAGATGGCAAGTCTCCTCTTTACCTCATCTTCATCCATTCCATCTAGCTGATCTGGGAGGTTAGGATCACAATGTAACGAACTAAAAATAGTGGATCTACTATTTCTGAAGCATGAATGCACCCTGTCTTTTAAGAAGGATTTGGTTCCCTTCCGCTTGCGCTCTATCAGCCCAAGAGAGAAAATATATCAGGGACGCTTCTTGCTGTAGATGGAAGTCTATGATCAGAGAAGCACATTTGTTACTGTGAGGGAATGTGTGCCAAGCAAGCAAAACAAGAAGAAGCAGTCGTCTTTGGGTGGACAATAATGCTTCCATTAAATGCTCTATTTCATGTCTGAAATTCTTTGAGGGATATTTGTAATAGACTGCCACTGTGACAGCTCGTTGCGATCAAAATAAGTTGTCTTCAAAAGAAGCTTTAAAAGAGCCCCAAATGTCTTGTCTTTATATTCCCATTTGCTTTGCAATCTGGGGAGAGAGACCTAACCTTCATCTGTGCTGTTTGCTGCAGGATGACATAAGGCCGTTCATGTTTCAAAGAAAATCAGAGCTGTCTGAAAACAAATTGAGGCCCATTACCCTTCATTAATTGCATGGCTGAGCAAGCCATGCACCATTTAAAGGATCTTTATCCAAATGTGTGCACTAAGAGCTTGGTGTGTGAAGTGGATTGATCAGGGAATTTTACAGTTGATCATTACCGTTGAAATAGATTTCCCTCCTCAGACTTCTCATAGAAGAACTCAAGTAAAATAAAATATGAGAAGAACTATGACAAGAGGAGGCTAGGGATATACTAGTTTATTTCTAGCCTGTGTCAATTTGAAGTGTGTTCATTCATAAATCCATTCCATCTTGTTTTTTGCATCAGTTCGTGAATATATGTGTGTGTGCAATATTTAAATATATTTAAATATTTAAAGCATTTTAAAATATATTTTATCACAAAAGACATATTTAAATACATATTTTATCATAGTGTATGCATTTCTAAAGTATTTTATCCTAAAATATGTATTTTTCTGCATTTTTATATATCTTTTGAACCAAGATGATTTTTGCACATTTTGGAAAAGTGCACAATCTGAATAAGACCACCCCATTGAAGTCTATAATATTCCATTGGAATCCATATTAATAAAATTATTCAATCTTCCATTGGATAGGGTTGGAGCTGAAATATTTTGAAGACTCATTTCTTTTGACAGTGGCTCAGATTCAAAACCATGCTCTAAGCACTGGTGATTAAACTGTTTCAATCTACAGGATACGCCTGCTTTTGAGATAGTTGTCTTTTAAAAATTCACCCATCACCAGGTAAGTCAAATAAGCAGCCTACGTTCCAAAAAAATAGTGAGCCCCCCCCCCCCGTCTGTGTGCAACATATGTTCTGACGTGTAAACTGTGCTTCAAAGATATTGCAGAACCTAGGGGAGAAGTGCCATGATCCATGTATGGACAACACTGTTATGGTTGTGCACTAGGAATCAATCCATCACTGACTGTAATACACCTGACTAATCAGGAAAACCCCAGGGAGTGAGACCAATCATCACTGTATCCTCCCTCACAATATTTCCTTTCTTATCATACTTCTGAGTCAGCACAGCCGACTCTGTTCCATTGAGAAATTCCACTTTTTGCCTGTTAACATCAAGTGTGGATAGTCAAGCTTCAATTGGTGATACTTTCTCTTCCAGCAAGGAATCCAGCTTGCATGTGTTTCGGGTTTAATTTTGCATGTTCTCAGGCAGGAAGAGACTTTTGTTTCTCAAGTCATGGAGAATCACAGTGCTGTAGTTGCAGAGACTTGTAACTGCTGCGTCCCATGACATTTTGGCTGTGTTAGCAGCACCGGTGACCTCCCCAAGGTGCGAGCCTGGGCACTGTGTATGGGGCTCCTGGGCTGCCCAGACAACAACCCACCCACCCCTCTTAAGCTCACTGATGTGGTCCAAAGGAAGCAGAGCAAAACTTTTGGCACCAGTTTGGCTGCAGGAGGTGTCAGAAGGAAGTATACAAGATGCCATCTAACCGTCTTAGGAACTCGACTCCAGATTCATGTAGGATTCATTCCTTAGCCATTTCTTCTCCTTAGCCGTTTTTTCTCTGGGGGACTCTCAGGGTGCTGGTTCCAGGCCAGGGCCACTGGAGGGAAGGCGAGGGGAGGACAGATGGTGCCCTGGGACAGACAGAGGTGTGTGGACAATTGAGTGCCTTATCTGCACTCTCATGCAGCGGTGCAGAAGGAGGCTGGGGTGGCTCAGCACAGTCATTTTTTTAGGGGGGAGAAGCTCCCCCAATATTTTTGGGGGAGGTGAAGGGGTCCGGGGTGTAAGGAATAATAAAAATAGCCGCTTTAAGAATAATGGAACTGTCGCTTTTTCAGAAATACAATGCTGCATCTTGCTGAAGCTACAACTGATAGGTAACCACAAATGACTCCAGGCTGGCTTATACACATATTTAGAATAGCCTGGGGCTAGAATGCTCATAAGTAGAACAGCTTATGGTTGGAATCTTGTTTATTCATAGACACCAGTAGACACAGGACCCGCTCACACCAGTGACTGGAACAACTGAAGGTCAGGATGTGGGTCTGTCCTCTCGGCTTCAAAAGATATAGTAGTCGCTTAGGCTTGTAACTGGAACAATTAGTGGTTAACACATGAAACTAGAACAACTGGTTGTTGTTGTTGTTTAGTCATGTCTGACTCTTCGTGACCCCATGGACCAGAGCACGTCAGGCTCTGGTGGTTAGAATATGGCTATACTGCTTACATCAATACACAAATTCATGAGAGCTTTGACCAAATAAGGACAATGGTAAACATGGAGGGTAGATGTCGGAATTCAGAGTGATGGGAGATGTCAACAAGGGCGGAGATTATAGTATTTTTATTAGGCGGTCATGATAGGCTGTAGCCCCTGCATGCCTCCTGACAATGGGGACAGGGGAGGGAACCTGTGCTTGGAGATAGGTAATATAAGCTTGTGCTTTGCCGAATTGGGGTGTGCCTACTTTTGACACCCGTGCTTGCAAGGACATATCTGTATTCAATAAATGTTTGCTGCTTCACCAATTTTTTTCAGATTTTATTTTGAGGGTCCCAGGAGCCAGAGTCTTGGGACCTGCATTTGCAGATTTGGAAAGGGAAATCAAATACAGAATATGAGAAGCTGTCATACAGACATGCCCTATGAAACCATTCACACACACACATTTTTTTCAGATTGTTTCATAGCATCTTATCACATATAGGCTGACATTTGAAGTGAATAGAATCAGGAATCAATGCATATTCAGAACTGACCATGTGTCTTGTAAACATAATCTTACCACATGTAAAAGTAATTTAATTTACAATTTCTGTGTGTTGGTTTCACATATGACAAAGAGTATGATCTCCTAGTTGCCCTTGTTTCTTTCAGAGGGCCTGCAATAACCATTGCAATGGAATAATAAAAAAAGGAGTTAAAAAAATTAACTCAAGGTGAAAAGTAGCTGATAGTACTTCAGTATAGAAAAGCAATTTCTTGTAAGGCAAAGAGATTAAAAACTTTTTTGTACTGTTCTCCCTGTGTATAGACTTCTTTTCAAATATTACACAGGATTTTACATTCACTTACTAAAGGTAATACAAGTGCTATTAACTTTTTTTGTTCATTTCTTAAAGATGTGAATATATATATATATATATATATAAATTCTATGTGTCTTAACTCTCCTTTTCATCTTAGTTTCTTTGATGTCTGTGCATGAATTAAATGCAAAGCCCAGATCTATAAGGAAACTTCACTCAGCTTAATGTTCTATCTATCTATGATGCCTTTACATTAGTAATCTGGAGAAGTAGACAACTTTGAAGAATTTAATTATTTCCTGACACTAGGATCCTGGGAACCTGTTGAGTACCCTCCATGGTGATTTGATAAGCATGTGCATTCATATCCAGATCTAGAGGAAGACTAGTCTAGCTGAACGTTCCACCTAAGGTGCTTGACTTCTGATAGTCCTCTGTTTGGGGAATGCCCTCCCTAGCCAGTCTCCCTCACTATTAATTTTTAGGAGAAGTTATTAACTATTTTTAGAAGGCTGTATTAAACTGCTTTAGAAATTTTAATTGTATTGGCACTGATATGTTTTCTGCCCTTGACTCCTTGACAGGGAAGAAGGAGGAGGAGTGGATGGGACACAAGCCACAACCAAGGAATGGTCATGTCTGATTCTCACATGTTACTTGAAGTCCCTCAAGGGGCCTTGAAGAGATGAGGATCACAGTTCAACTCACTTCTGGAGGTGTCTAAATCTCTGCAGGTCCCAAATGGTGCTCCCCACAGATTGTACACATCATCTGCCATCTTAGGAGCCCATTCCACTCAGGTTCTCCAGACTGGAGCTTTGTGGTCAAGAGGCATGCTGATGGATTCATTGGAATATGAATATGATTTCCCAGACCACAGAAACCTTTCCCCCCTCTTTTTTGCAGTGGTTCTGTGAATTCCACGTGGAATCAAATGACTGAAACTTCACTAAAAGTTACTGATATAAAATATGGTCCTTAGGCTTTTGTGTAAGAGCTATAATGCACGTTCAGGGGACCCACATGGCAGTTTCTCCTGGGTTCTTTATCAATATTGAACCATATTGAAATCCTACACTGAATGGGTATAAAGTACTCTAGGCCACAGCTGCAAACCAGTCACAGCTGCAGATCATGAAACACTCCAAGGCTGTGAAGCTAATGGACCAGTGTGTAGATGATAGCCTTTTATCCCTCACTCTTCCTCAGATAAGTTCAAAGAGGCCTACAAATGATGATTAGACAGCCTCCTAGGCAGCTTACAGGGACAAAATGAAGGAAAAAGGTAAGTCAGGAGAACCACATATGCTGTCTTGAACTCCTTGAAATAAAGAAATATACGTTTGGACAATTTTAGCAAAATGTGGCCCTTCAGCAGTTGCTACACAACAGCTGTCATCCTCATTGACCATTGACCATGTTGGCTGGGTTAATGGGAGTTGGAGTCCAACAACATATGGAGGGATGTAGGTTCCCCTCCTTTGCTCCATACAGCGGCAGACCTTGATAATATAGCACTCTGAGTGAGGCCAGAATTTGATGCATCTCCGCCCTCATGTCACCTCCCTCAAGCCGGTTAAGTGAGGTGCTGGGCTCTGAGAAGGAGGCATGAGGGCTCTGGCAAAGTCCTAGATCTCTCCCGTCTCCTTTGTAAAGCTGGACAAGTGCCAGCTAGGCTTTAGGAAGGAGGTAGGAGGACTCTAGGGTCCCATCAGAGTCCTCTGTAATGAGTATGAGTTACTCGTGCGTAAACTGGTGCCTCTCTAGGCTAATTTGCCTTGTTAAACCTTTCTGACTGCACAGCCCTTTCCGATCATGACTGTCTCAGTCACTAGCAGAATCCGTCAGTGGGCGTTTCTTGAATCTCTTCCAGCATAAGAGTTGTTTGACACCCAATCTTCTCCGCCTCTCACTGCGCGGGAGCCTTCTGCGCAGGGTGGGCGTGGGTAGCGGGGGACCTGTCCCCTCCTCACTGAGTTCCAGTGAAGAGTCCGTGAGCCCTCTCTCCGATTTTCCCATCTGCTCACTTTTGTTCCTGGTGTTGCGCTTAAATGCTTCCCCCTCCACTGAGTCGCCTCTCCCCCTGCTGCTGGGTCCTTCTCCAGCATCATCCAGGAGCCTCCCCTTCACCTCCCGCTCTGATGTCAGTTCCCTGACATCCTCACACCTCCTTCCCGAAGCAAGTGCATACTTTGCTTTGGGAAGGAGCGGGAAAAATGCCCCCTCTGCTTAGTTGCCTTTGTGGATGAAGTGGTTGTGCTGCCTTAAATCCACCTCTGCTCCAGGCTATTATGAGCTAACATGATACCTTGTTTCAAATTGCATATCCTTTTAACCAATATAATCTCAGTTTTGTTTGGATTCTGTCCCCATTTGCTTGTCTGTATCCATCTTGCAGCAGGGCCGGTGGGAGAGCAAATTCTTTATATGAGATCCCCGAAAGACTCCCCCGCCCCCAATATTAGCAAGAAAACTTTTCCTTTGCATCAAACACAGTCATCTATAAAAACCCAGTTTATCTTTGACCTAGAAATAAAATTAGCTGGTGTGATGTACTACATAGAGTGTATAATGGCGGAATAACTGAGGAGAACCGCTTTTGTAAAATATCATCTGAAGAGAAGAATTACTGTAAATATACTGTCTGTCTCTTCTGCCTGCCTATACCAAGGCTAATGGGGAGTGAAATTTGTTTCTTTAGGTAATTTTCAGTGAACTGATCGCTATCATCAAGTTAATCTCTGTGAGCCCATCTTTTCTTTTCTTTTTTCCCCATTTGATACCAAGAGAAGTGCAAAGCTTTGTTCAGAATAATCTCCCAGGTGTAATGTGTGCCACGTCACACTGGATTGTTAAACTCCAAGTAGGCCTCAGCATGCAGAAAGATACCTCTTTATATGTCAAAAAGCAAAATCTCGCCCTGAGCTTGCAGGGAGAGAATCGAATGGAAAATACTGAGAACAGCCTACAAACTGCCAAGAAGAAAGGAGTGTTAAGAAGTTTTTGAGTAACCCCTAGGGTAAGCAATTTCTTACATTACAGTAATCATAATGCTACAGTGGAAGCTATTTAAAAAGTGTGAACCTGTTAATATTACTAAGGTTGAATCAATAAATTCAAGAACAGAGTCTTTGGGAAATCAAAGTTTTGCTGGAAATCCTAAATGGAAAAATTATTTTAATGGAGTATCATAACTGAAATATAATGATAGAAAAACCATAAGACAGGCTTCTTTATGCTACTTGTTAGACGGAGGTGTCCCTATGTATCATCTATCTATCTATCTATCTATCATCTATCTATCTATCCATCCATCTATCATCTACCTATCATCTATCTGGTTGGTTGGTTTGGACTACAAATGAATTTCTCCATGTGATCATATGAGTACATGCCCACTAACATTTCACAACTAAAAATAGGACAGGTCACTATTCTCAAATCACAAAGCTTTCTCTCTACCACCCCCATGACACATTGTAGAAGATTTTTCTTTGGCCACTGTATCCATTTACTGTGCTTAGTGCTGTACCCAGAACTGTAGGGTAACAAGCCTCACATAGCCATCATGCTTGAGTCTAATTAATACATGAATGGGTTAATGCCGCAGAGTAAACTGTCCTGCCAGGCTTAACCTATGTCACTTCCCCTCAGCTTGGGAGCAAATGAGCAACCAAGCCTTTTGTTGTAATCAGTCTGCGTGTGAATTCGGTGTGTGAAGAGCTCTGAGCTGCTCTCTCCAGTTGCATGGCTGCAACCAACCTCTTTTGTTTTAGACAAGAATGGAGTCTGAAACTAACGTTTTGCTATACCAATACTTTAGGAACTTTTACCATTTTGTTACCAAGCAATCTTTTACTGCCTGTGCATCTTTCTTTTTTTACTGTTGTATGGAAGAGCACATGAAACTGACCTTTGAAGAATTTTGTAAGTAAACCAGTTTATAACTTACCAAACATTTTTTCTATCTGTGTGCTAGGGAAGTGGGATATTTTGGAATTCACTGGAAAGTTACCTTTAAAAGTTTTATAGCCTATATTTCCACATTTTTCTTTGCTGCATGTTTTGTCATGCTAACTCTCAGCTGGGGTTCTCTCACCAAAGATTACTTGTCCCAAACTGGGGTCTTGACTTCCAGGATTTCCAACAAACAATTCTTCTACTTTTCCTTCTACTGTTCTCCAATAATTAATGAGAAAAGAAACTGCATTTGTAAACTATCAAAGGGAAAGAAAATTCTGTCGAAATTTTCAAGGGGAAGGTGCTTCATCCTGATTACAGTTTCGCCCCAAGGCTAATGTGACATAATCCCATTGGAAAATCACACACACACAAACATACACAGAGAGAGAGGGGGGGGTGAGAGGGAAGCTATTAACTACTTTAAAAATCAAAGATGCAAATGATAAGAGAAAGGGTCATGAGAAGTGATTTCTGTGATTATAACTGCCGGAAAAAGCTTTGAGCTGTCAGCTGGCTCACTGCATGTACTGCCCACTTCAAAATATATTTTCCAATGACTGGAGACTAAATGATCCATGAGGATTTGGAAATCTTAGCTTTAAATGTCTAGTTATTTCTTGTTTCTGTTATTTGGGTTTTCCTTCCACAATACATCTAATTTGTTTCGACATTCCTTTTGCTAGCATAATGCAGCTTAGTTGTATAATTAATAGATAGATGAATAGAGAGATAGAGAGATACTATAGATAGATTGTCATATATTTTGGTCCTCAAAAAGTCAGAAAAAGGAGTCATCACCAAGAGACATCTTTAAGAATGCAAAGAGAATAGTGCTTTCAAAACTGTAGTGCTTGGTGTTACAAATTAATGACCTCACTCCAAACCTTCAGTGATGACCTCCTTTCATCAAGTTTAGCATAACACACAACACTTCAAACCCGTTTTTCCCAAGTGACAAAGGCATGCACACAATTTTTGTGTGTGTTGAAGCTGGTATTCTACAGGATCACATTGGCAGGATTCACAAGAACAACACAAAATGCCAGCCATTCTCTTCCTGTTTTCTCTCCAACTGTTACATTACTTCTTCTTTTTTCACTCTTTCCCCAGAATCAACTTTACCTTTGTTAGTCATTAATTGGTATTCTGGTTGAGCATACATTTCCCAAATATCTCCCATCACTCTCTGTCTCCCTATTAGCATATTCCATTCTTAAATTTCCACTGGGTAGGAGATGCGCATAATAGATTTTTTCCTGCACAATTACCAAGGGTGAACAGAGTTCATCCATGGCACTCTAATTCATTTTGGTAGCATGGTGTGTGAGTTTACATGTTCCATTAGATCGAAGGAAGCACGTGATAAGCTTATCACCTCTGAGCTTGCTTCCTATAGACGAGCAATTGCCTGATGTGATAATAGATTATTTATTTAAATTTGTAAGGCTTGGGGCCCTACATTCAGAACAATGATTCTATATACACTATAATCTGATAAAAAGTATAACACATGTTCAAAACTTTGTATCAACCACCTTAACTTTAGCCACTCATGTTGTTTTTTAGTCGTTTAGTTGTGTCCGACTCTTCGTGACCCCATGGACCAGAGCACGCCAGGGACTCATGTCTTCCACTGCCTCCACTCATATCCAGCCTAAATATAATGGGAGGAATTCAATGTAGTGTTAAGCAGATCCCTCAATCAGCGCAAGCAATTCTTCTTGCATGATGGAACTATGTTCCCTCTCTTTCCCCCATGGGCGTTTCCAGGGGATCTGCTGGCCCCATCAGAGACAATCTAGGCACATGCTCAGGGGGTGCACATGAGGAGGAAAGGAGGAAGTTCCATTGTGCTAGTGCAAGTTCTTGTGTGGGCTTCAATTGGTGCTGCTCATTACCTGAATCCCACCCAATAATTCAGTGTTTTCCAAATCTCCAGCTGTTACTTTTATCTACTTTTTTCTTTCTTTTTCTTTTTATCTTGTTTTTTCCTTCTTTTTTCTTTGTAATTTTAAAATTCTCAATAAATATCTTTAAAAAACAAAAACAAATCTCCAGCTGTTTTTGTACCACAATTCCCATCATCCCTGACCACCACTAGCTGGTCCTGCTAGCTTGGGATAATGGGAGTTGTAGTCCCAAAACATCTGGAGACCCATGTATGGGAAACACTGATAATCCCACAAGCAAGATGGGCTAAAAGTCATTTTGTTGTTGTTGTTGTTTAGTCGTTTAGTCGTTATAATGGATTTTGTGCGTGTGCCAACCAGCCAACCAACCAACCAAACGCCTTTCAGTATACACACACCCATTTTTTTGATCTTGTTGTTGTTTAGTCGTTTAGTAGTGTCCGACTCTTCGTGACCCCATGGACCAGAGCACGCCAGGCACTTCTGTCTTCCACTGCCTCCCGCAGTTTGGTCAAACTCATGCTGGTAGCTTCAAGAACACTATCCAACCATCTTGTCCTCTGTCATCCCCTTCTCCTTGTGCCCTCCATCTTTCCCAACATCAGGGTCTTTTCCAGGGAGTCTTCTCTTCTCATGAGGTGGCTGAAGTATTGGAGCCTCAGCTTCAGGATCTGTCCTTCCAGTGAGCACTCAGGGCTGATTTCCTTCAAAATGGATAGGCTTGATCTTCTTGCAGTCCATGGGACTCTCAAGAGTCTCCTCCAGCAACATAATTCAAAAGAAACTCATTTAACAGCCATTAATTGCCATGAGAAAGATGTCTGTTAGAGGCATAGCTATACCGTACAT